ATACGTTTGTTGTAGAGAGCAAATCTGTCTGATACTGCTGCTTGTTTTGTTTCATCCTGGTCTTAGGTTTGTTTTGGGTTTTTTTAATTGCGAAGTTACGCTAACATTTAATGAGGAATTGTGAGTACTGAAGATCTCATATCAGCACTGGATATATCTCCTTGTCTTGTTTAAATGCGAAGTGCAATTATTACAAAATTGAGAGAACAAACAAACTGTTAACTGTTTCTGTTTTTCTTCTAAAAGTACCACATTAAAGTGAAATTCCAGTAAAGAATGTAAAATAGGCAACAAATTTAAAAGTATGTAATTATTTTGTAGATATTACTACCAGAAAATACAAGCCATTTTAAAGGGATCATTAAAAATACCAGCAACAGTAGGTCTAATTGAAAAGTACAAGGGATATATACCTTTATGCCTTGGACTTTTAGGTATTAAGCTAAGCAATTGTTACCTGTTCTGTGGAAGAAATTTACATATAGGTTATTATGTAATTTACTTCCCAGATTTTTGGCACCTTTTTCAAAGATGCTAGAGAGAGAGAGGCTGCTGGAACACTGATCTGATTCCCCAGCTCTGTGAAGTTGCTCCATCTCTTCCCAACTATACCCACTTCTATTAGAGATTTATTGTGTTACAGTGAAGAAATACTAACTCTGGGTTCCTGCAGTATGTAATATGACAGGGGACCCTTGAAGCTGGATGGAGCCCTGTTTCTGCAATGCTCCAGTCGAGTTAACATCAGGAACTGTGTGATTGATGTTCTCAGGGCTGCGCTCCCTGCTGCTTTAAACAGGAAGCCCTCCCAATATTGCTTCAGTTCCGTGAACAAGGCCACTTCCTTAACAATACAATAACAGGAATTTGATCGGAAAATTCAAAATTTGTTTCTTGAAGACATGAAGATGATTGCTTTCATTTGTGCATTATCTCCAGTATTAAGGAATAAAAGCTATGGGTTTTGTTTGGGGGGGAAAAAAAAAAAAAGGCAAAAAACCCCACAAACGTTCCTCACGTTCTTCTCACAAGAAGGAATCTGGCTTTTTTATGATTGTTGAAATATTTTTCCAGTTTTCAGAGATTTGTCAGTCTTCTGTCTTTCTCTAGACTAGATTTCTCTTGCCAATATCACAATATGATTCTACAGGAAAATGTCCTCAGCTGCTTCTGATGGTTTTTCATTTTTTGATATCCTTATGTGGTCCACCACTAATAACAGCAGTTTCAAACAGGTGTTGTTCAGGTGCAGGTTGCTTAAGAGGCAACCCTCAGTCATCGCCTGTGTTGATTTTCTACTTCTAATAGAGGTACAAGAAATATTACAGCTTAAAAAAAATTTTTAATCATTTATACTGCAGAACAAATGTATTTGCCTTGTTTTTTACTTGTAACATTTACTTCCAAGGGTTCCCAGGCTGTAGAGATCAGCAGGGAATTCTGGAGCTCTGAAGACGTAACCTCAGTAGAGGAGCATCAAGTTAGGAAACATTTAAACAAATAGAGCATACACAAATCCATAGGATTTAGTGGGACTCATCCATGCATGCAGGGCTGCTCTCAATTATAGCTGGAAGGTCATGGCAATTGGAAGAGATTCCAAGGGACTGTAAGGAAGCCATTATCCCACTTGTCTTCCAGAAGGCCAAGAAGAATAATCCAGGGAACTACTTTCTGTGATGAAACAACTGACTTTGCGGATCGGCAGACTTGATTTAGCAAGGCTTTCGACGTTGTGCCCCATAACATCCACATAGGCACAAACCAGATAAACAGTGATGTGGACTGAAATCTGGCTGAACTGTTGATCTCGAAATGTTGGGGTGGACACAAAGTCCAGCTGGAGGCCAGTAACTACCACAGGGGATGATACTGGGGCCAGTAGTCTTTAACCTTGTTATTCAGAACCTGGATGATGGGGACAGAGTGCACCATCAGCAAGTTTGCAGACAATACAAAATTGAGAGGAGTGGTTGATAGACCAGATGCCATTCAGAGGGACCTTGACAGGATGGAGAAATGGGCCAAGTCCTATTCATGAGCTTCATAAAGTTAAACAAAGGGAAATGTCAAGTCCTGAAATGGGTGAGGATTAATCCCATGCACTAGTACACACTGAAGCCTGGAAAGCAACTTTGTAGAAGAGGACCCAGGTATTCTGGCGCACAAAAAGTTGACCATGAGGCAGCAGTGTTCACTTAAGAGAAAAGAAGGCAAAAAAAAATCCTGGGCACTGCCAGCAGGTCAAGGGAAGTGATTCTCTCTAGTGAGGCACTGGTGATACCACACCTCAAGTGCTGTGTCCAGTTCTGGGCTCCCCAGAACAAGAGATATGTGCACATAGTGGAGAAAGTTCAGTGAAGGGTCACAAAGATGATTAATGGAGCATGTGTCATACAAGGAGAGGCTGAGAGAGCTGAAGTCATTTTGCCTAGAGGAAAAAAGGCTAGTGAGATCTTATCAATGTGTGTAAATACCAAAAGGGAGGTAGAGCAAAAGGCAACAGAACCAACATCTTTTCACTGCTGTCCAGAAAGGACAAGTGACAATGGGCAAAAAATGAAAGCCAGGAAATTCCACTTAAATATAAGAAATAAATTATTTACAATGAGGGTGGTCAAACACTGAAACAGGTTTCTCAGGGTTTGTGGAGTCTGCAGCATTAGAGATCCTTGAGACCCAACTGGATAAGGTATTAAGCAACCTGCTCAGGTTGCCTATCTTGGAGCAGGGGCCTGAACTAGACCTGATGACGTCCCTTCATGCTTTGACTGTTCTATGAGTCTGTCAAATTAGGGTAGTCAGAAAGGTTTGAGATAAATTCCACTATTTACAAATGGAGCATAATAGTATAAGGAGTCAGATAAAGCCTTGAGGTACCTTATTGGCCAGGAGTTTCTGTGCAATAATAGAGGGTTTGTGCATATCAGTGCATATCATAGATTTCCTCCAGATTGGAATTTCCAATTGTAGAGAGGCCTTTAAATTAAAAGTCATTAAAAATAATGTTCTATTTCTGTTGAAATCTGTTAATTCTGCTGGGAAACCCTGTGATTCAGCCATGTACACAAACACACATGAACTCGATTCAACTGCCAAGTCCAAGAAATTGCAAGTTGTGGCTTTTATGTGTATGTACAACAATATCACTAAATAAAAGGAACATAGCATAAAGGTGCTTTTTTCCCACCATTTTGCTGAATCTTTTGTTTAGTAGCCCACGTACACTTTCTGACTTTTGGGGTCTACTGGGCTGGTGCCATGTTTTGGATAGTGCTAGGCATAGTACTCGGGTAAATCACTCCTTTTCCTGCAGTTTATTCCTAGGTGTGGTTATGCCTACTCTGGATTAGGTTCCCATCCCATGTTTTCTTCTTTTGTGTGTCCTACATTTCCCCTCCCATCTCCTTGTGGGGCATGGCACAGCATGTTCCTGGAGACAAACCACACTTAAACTTCAGAGTCTCCCTTGGATGAGAGTTTGTTCGATTCAGATATTTCTCTTGGATTCACATCGTCAGCTGTGTGGGCCTTAGCAGAGATTGAACAACTTCCCTTTTCTTTCATTATAGGCTCCAATAGTCTCTTTTTGGCCAATGTGCAATTAGTGTGTCTATCCCAACTGCAAAGCCTTTCCCTTTTCCATAACAGATGGGTGCTTGCGTGTTTGGGAGAGAAGATAAAGGCTGGACCTGTATTTTTCTCAGCCATCTACTTCCTTCACAACCTCTTTCTTTAAAGTTTATTTGGGAGGAGGACTAGCAGGGTATCTGGCACAATAGTTCTACACAAACAAATAAAAAATGAGAGACATGCCATGAAAATGTGTTAAATCAGTGATGCTTGACACAGCCATGTAAGTTTAAGAGCAATAAAGCTGCATCATGTAAGACAGAAAATATTAATCAATTCCATCTGTGTAATACATATTCATCTCATGTATACAATTCCTTAGATCCTAAGAAAACTGCCAAAATTTCATCTAATAAATTTTGCAGCACTATAGAGTAGAAGCAGAGGTATATGTTTTATGCCTGACATGAAAAAGCCTGTTGACAGATGTGCTTGTGCTGAAGGGATTGCAAGGTCTATGTTGCTTAGTTGCATCATTCTCCCACTTGCTCATGCTTGGGTTTGGCCTGCAAGCTGGGAAGCGCAAAGGTCTTTTTTGTTTGGGTTTTATGTTGGGGATTTTTTTTAATCCCACGCTACTTTCTGAAACTTATGTGAGGTAATAATACCCGTGTGCATGCTGTGCTCCTTGGAACTTTGGCCTGTATTATCCCGGGAGGAGCTTTACCTGTTTCCTACAAGACCCAATAAACAGTCTTTTCCCTTTGGGAAGGTGATTTATGTTTCTTTATTAGGCCAAAGCTAGAGACTATTTTAATCCAACACGGTCTGTACTTCACTAATCTACACTCAGATGTTCATGTTTATTGGTGTGAAAAAAAAAAAAAAAGCATGGATCTTTATATCTGCAAGTCACATTTTCTTTTTGGGGAGCAACACACAGACATATTGTGCAGAGCACTGCAGCACTAAGGAGGAGATAAAGCAGGAAAGAAGGAAGCAGAACAGATATGGAAGATCTAATACACTGGTACATAATGGGCTTTTCAGTGCAGGGTAGCTACCATTGTCTACACTGTCCATTACCTCTCCATGCAGGCAGAACAGTATCAGTGATCCCAGAACCTCTGCCTGAGGAACCTGCCTCAAATCTCTAGTGTCTCTGTCAAAAAATGGTAGAGATTGGCTACCCCAGGCTGGTGTTCACAAGTTAACTATTAGACTCAATAGATAAACCATGTTATCATGAACACACCAGAAATATTAGCTAGTTTTTAGAATGTTCTCATTATGTCCACTTGCTCGCACCATTTGAAAGAGCCAAGTTAATCTCAAAAATGCTTCGTCCTGCAGGATTAAGAGACTTTTGAGGAACATTCATAAACACCCGTTTGGATGAACATGTTCTGAAACAAGTGAGCACTCACCTCCCTGGACAGCCGAAACCTGCTGCCACGCACACAGCTCTCTGTCACAGTGCAGGGACTTGTCTTGACTGAGCTTGTCATCTTTTGACATGGCCTGAAAGCAACCTCACGCAATATGGAACTTGCAGATCGTTTTGTTCTTAGTTGCTCAAAAGTAGCAGAATTCCACAATGGTAAAACAGTTACGTAAGGAATTATGACAGCCTACTGAAATTCATGTTGAATATGTTTACTTCCCTGCTCTTTACAAGTACTTTAATAAGTAAATGCCTGCAACCATGTACAGTGTTAAGTTGCAAAATACCTTGCAACACATCCTCATTTCTTGCAAGTTGTGTGGTGTAAATATTTGCCTAAACTTCTAGTGTCTGTTCTTCTGCCCAGGGTGTTTTGTCACAGATTAATTTTTGGGCTTCATTAAGCAAGCATTTAATTACTGTGGGGAACAATAATGACTTTTTAAACAGAGTACTGTACTAAATTCACAAAGTGTACAATAAAATATTTGAGGAGCCCTATCAGATTGCTACAAAAAAATAAATGTACTTTGTAACCATGTGAATGTATGCAAACAAGCCAAAATTCAAAATCTGAAAGGCTAGGACTGGGGCACAAGTTGTGATTTCTTCTGCATTTGAGGGTTTTATTTTCTCCTGCATCTCTTGCTTTTTTGGCATTGACTAAAGAGGTTCCCTGATCAATACATGAGGTTACCCAAGCAACCCATTAAATTCTCATCTTTGCCTTTTTCATTCTCTGAGAAGCAACAGACTAAAGATTCATACGAGTTTGGGATGCCTGTCTCTGAACCTGGAGGGGAACATGTGAGGCAAGGATCATGTGCCCTTGTGTCTGTAGGAGCTGTTTCTCAGAGCTCTGGCAAAAGTGACAGTGCTGGAACTTGCACATACTCTTGTTCCTGTATGAGTGTTTATGGACCTTCATCACTGAACCAATGCTCAAAGTGTTTCTGGTCTACCTCCGCCAAAGAATTTCTCTTTCAAGAAACTTGCTAGGGTTTGGGATTCCCACATGCCCATGATACATTTTGCAATTTTTTGGCCTCTTAATTTGGGTGTAGGGGTGCATTTTCTCCTGGTCTTACACACTAGTGACTGGGTGCACATGCTCCACTGTTTTCACAGTGTCTACAATGGAAAAAAACAGTCCCTTCAGTATTCTTTGTCAGACAGCAAGACATGGATTTTCAATGTGAGAACTAATTGCTTCTACATTACAGGATTGCAGTTTGCAGATTTTATTTTATTTTGTATCATTTCACCTTTGAGCTCAGCAGTCCTCAGAGGTTTCTGCTAGAATGTATCAAAGTGACAATAGACCATGTTTTGAGATGGTGGGTTTTATTTGTAGCATTGTTTAAATCACTTTTACAAGCTTATTGACTTCCAGTGGAAAGTAATTTGTCTCAGCTTAATGTAGATAAACAGGTAATTAGAGCCTCAGCCTTGGGCCTGTTTGACTTTCTCAGAGCCTGGGCAACCCAGTGGTGATACAAGTGTCTTAGAGATCCCTGGATGGGGAAGAGAATAAATCTCCAAGACCAGCATGGCCTGAGCATTCCCTTCAGGGTGTGCAAAGTTTTTTCATAGCCTTCTGAACACGAAATGTGTAAGGAAAATGAGAAATATCCTGAAGTATAGGAGTTTGATAAAAAATTGTGCTATTATTTGACCCAATCCATTGCCTAAAATGTGTTCCCCCTTAAGTATAGTAATTTATCAATTTAGATTTGGATCTGGAAAAGCACTGATCTGAAGTAACAACTTTTTTAATGATACCTGCCAACCAACCTTCCCACAAAGACACCTTATCTGCCACAGCAGAGGGAGAAGAAGTGAGTGGCAGGCAGTTCATCACCAGGATCTCCCATGATACAGCTCTACAACTAGGAATACTCAGAGAAACCCTTGCCAAAAAGCATTGGCTGCCACACTGCCTGGGACAGCTTGCTTCTAAAACAGACCAGTAGTACAGACCTCTGGTGAGTTTTAACATTAACAAATGGCCACCCACCAAATCAGCCTCACAACTGGAAAACTAAATCACAGCCTAACTTTGCAAAAACTTTTCCTTAGAGTAATTCTCAAGCATTATGCTTATACACACACGATGATGATGTTGCTATTCTTAGTGAAGTACAGGTTGCAGCATTTCCCACACACTGCAAACTGTCTTCACTTCGGGGACAACCCTCCATGAAAGCAGATATTGTTAGTATAAATAACCAAAGAGAAAAAAGTTTAAGATGGTTGACTTAACAGTTCTGCATCATTGGTGCTGTTACATGACTCTGGGCTGGGTCACTGAGACAGAGTTGGAGAAGCTGCTTTGCCATTCCCATGGGTTCTAAAATATCAGACCTGTCAGAAATGTCTCACCGTGAAGAAACTGGCCAACAGGGCAGTTTCTATTAGGGGAAAAATACTGGCTTTTATGGTTTTCTTTGCAGATCACTGTACCACACCTGGCTGGAGGCAGCAAACCAAGTAATGCTGCACAAGCTGCCAGCTGGTTCTGAAAGTTAGTCTCCATGTGAGTTGACCTTACTTGTCTGCAAGTACTGCAACCATGACAAAACCAGCCTTTTTTGCTTTTTGAATATTTATGCACATAACTGCATGTTTAAAAACATTTTAACCTTTGTGTGGCAATTGCTGAGGTATGTTTTTATTACTTTTTTTAAAAAAAACCAAACAACTCACTGGCAATTCAAAGCTACACAACTGCTCAGTTTATGTATGTAAAAACACTTCCCATTGGCAGTCACTCATGCAAACAGCAGGCATAAACCCATTACTTGGTTTCATCCATAGATCAGACTTAGTCAGTCTGTGAGAAGGACAGGACCCTTTCTAACAGCAAGGCTCCCTGAAGCTCCCTGATTTTAGAGGTCTCATTCAGAGTGCTGAAAAATTTATCCCAGTGCACCAAACCAAGTCCCTTAATAATTCTTCTTGCATCTAGGGGAACCATTTTCTAAGGAGGTTGCTTCAAAGAGTGTGTTGGGAAACCTGGCCATGTTGGTGTTGTGATAGCACTTCACTGCATGCCCTTATATACTCTCCTTCCTTTTTTCTCCCCTGAAAAATTCACTTGTGGCAAAAAAAAATAAATAAAAAAAAAATAAAAAAAAGAAAAAGATTGTAAAAAGTTCTGTGCCTAGGGCAATATAAGCACTTTACTTGGCTCTTTGTCTCGAAGACTAGAAGCCAGGGCATGTCCAGGCATGGTTCAGACCAGTTGCCTTTCAGGAAGCTAGCATTGCATGTCTGATGCTCTCCTCACATTGCTATGTGCAATCTCCCTCAGAATGGCATTGCTGCAATGTGCTTAATATAATCAGCTGAACTCACAAGGCCTGTTGTGTCCCTGTTGGGATGTGATTAGGGTCTGACTGTTCTCTTCCCACTGGTGGGCTGCATGTCAGGAACGTGTATGACTTGGGCTGGCAGCCTGGAGGAGCCCACAGTAATGAGAGGCTGAAGGTCAAACACAGACTCATACAATATTGCCTCAGTAGAACAGTGGAATGGGAAAGCTTGCCCAAAAGGCAGAAGAGCAGGAGGTGTGGGGATGGTGAGTGAAGGATGGACTGGCTTAAATCCCAGCAGCTTGTGGTTCTGCTGCAGCCACAGTGCAAATGAGCAGGAAAAAGTGGGGCAGCAGCTGAAGCAGGTGCGGGTGTGAAATCTGAGCTCGCCCAGTCAGGCTGCCATGACGCCACAGAGCAAATTTAGGAGTGCAGGGGGCTGCTCCTCAGGTGGGTGGGCTGGATGGGAGCACGAGCAGGAGCTTACACCCAAGCTCTGTGGACATGCAGTTACAGCATGAGCTGCAAGAGGCCCAGCCATGGCAGCACTGCTGGAGCTGCTGAAGCACTGTCAGGCAGGTTTGTGACCGTGCAGCTCTGCAACACGACATCACTGTGGCCAGCAACAGGCCACCAGCTTGGTCCTGAGTAAGCAAGACCCCAGGCTCTGCCCAAACTTTTCCTGACCTGCCTGCAGCTTTGTTTTGCTTGGCTTAGCTGTGGCAGCGATTTCTGTCATTGATTAGGTGCATGTACCTAATGTGTTTTATTTTAGTTTATCTTTGTGTAGTAGACCAAGAGTTTTATACATTCAACAGTAGCAACAAGCTCCGGGTAGGATGAGATATTTACAACTCTGACACCATGATGCCCTGTAGAGCAATCCAGGGTGGTATGGTGGTGGAGGTGCTGAGAGGTGGAGACACAAGTTGTGCTGTAGAGCCGTGCAGGGTGGGGAGGGTGTAAGAGATGAGGCACAGACTGACACTGGGGACCCCTCAGCCATAAACAGCTCCATAATGGTCAGTTAAAAGAACCTGCAGACCTGGAGATGGACCAAGCTGCTTTTAGGAGTAACTGAGAATAAACAGTATCTGAATTATGTAAATGGAACCATATATAGTAAATTTAGATGTTACCTGAAGCTACAGACCAATTAAGAAAGACAAAAGTGTAAATATGTGTTAACAAACATACATATATGACCCTAAGTAGAAGGAAGAATGCTTTTTCCAAATATAAGTACCCTACCTGCATTATTATTCTTTATTTTTCTGTAATAATTAGATCTAGACTACTGATGATTCCTGAATTAAACTGAAGATTTGCATTATACAAACAATAAATTCTTGCCTTTACTAATACATGTAAGGGATGATTATTTATTTATTTATTTTCCCACCAGCAAGATTTTAAACATAACAAAATTGGACACATATTTTCTTTATTTGTATAGCTCTTGCAGTGTCCCAGGAAGAGAGGCACTATTCTGAGTGGACTGTCAGTGGAGCAGCCCTCGTACATTCCCAAGGCGTGGCTGAGAGGACAACTAGCAAATGCATGGCAGAGAATAACCAAGTACCTACTCATCCAGGATGTTTTCACTATGTGACTACACTCCTGTTTCCCATGGATTTTAAGCTGGGGATTTCTTAATTTAACATATGATCTAATTATGTACTTTTGACACTACCATAAAACCATAGTCCATAGTATTTTTTTTTTCTCTTCTTTCCAGTGTTCTGAAATAAACATCTTGATTGAAAACAAGATTACTCAGGAGTTCTGATTTAAATGCTAATTTTTATTTGAAGATAAACAATAGTAATTACTAATTGCATGTGTGCATTTCTTA